TGCCGAATGGGTACTCTGATGGAAGGGTTCAGCTTGCAGAAGAAAACACAAAAGTGTGTCTTGTGTTTGTCGATTTAAGGGGGTGTTAAAAAGAGAACAGTGGCATACTGCAAAATACAAGCCCAAAAGAGAAAATGTGATCAGTTGTTAGATCTATAATTTATGTCTAGGTAGATGTATGGACCATCATTTTCTTCTTTGCTGTCCTGGCAGTTACTGATTCTGTAGAACTGCAGACGTATCCAGCACTTGTGGTGGAGAAAATGTTGAAAGCTTTAAAATTAAATTCCAATGAAGCCCGGTTGAAGTTTCCTAGGTTACTTCAGATTATAGAACAGTATCCAGAGGAGACCTTGAGCCTAATGACAAGAGAGGTTGGTATCTTTATTCCAATTTATAGAACTTAAAGGCATACTCTTATTTATATCCAAACATGTTCGTATCTACAATGCACGTATTGTACTTTTTCCCAGAAGCATTGAAATTCTAAAAACATAGGTAATTTAAAATGGTACAAAAGAGTGTTCACATTTACCCATTTTCCTCTGTGAGTGTTGATAAGAATGCTATGTCTGAACAAGGACCTAAAGAAATTGAGGAGGGTGTGTTGGGGACAGGGACGAACATTTGCATAGACAGTTTGCTGCCTACACAGCTGAAGCTGTAGTCAGTAAAATCTGTGGTGCCTTATTCTCCATGGGGAGATGAGAAGTTTCAAATTGCGTCCACCTCCTGGTGAGTGCAGTGCCCGCCTGCAGCACCATGTCCAGAGGAGTCTGAGGCCTGCAAGTAGGGGGAAGTTCATGTGGTTGTGGGAGCAGCTGGTGCCCCGCCCTGTGATCCGCTCCTCGGCCTGAGCCGGGGCTGCCTCACTGGCTGTGGTCCTGTGCTTTGGACTCTGCCTGTGTGCAGGGGAGGCTCCACTGACCCCATCTACAGGAAGTGTGGGGCCACCTGAAAGGCAACTGGAAGACAGGGCAAAGCTTGGAGTTGAAAATGTATTGATTTCTGTTACGTGATCTCCGTTAGCTCTATGTAGTGAGTTTCTAAACAATGCTGATCTCTGTGGGCACCCAGCATGACTGTCAGGCAACCTGCACTCCCATGTGGATTCTGAGTGGTGGGCTAAATTTCAGTAGGCCTTAAACAAGAGACCAAAATAAATTCAGAGATGCAGCATATATCAGGGGTCTTCCAAAAGTTCATGGAAAGATTCATTTATCTTTTAATTGCCTTTTTCCATGAACTTTTTGAAGTACCCTCTTACGTGTTTTTCTTAGAGATAAGTGAACAAATAGTTAAATAACTTTATTATGACTTTGGTTTTTTGTAAAACAATATTTTTATGTGGTAAAAACTGCATTTTGAATTTGTGAGGAAATAAATGAGTACTCAGTCAGTGTCGTTAACGACACTGAGGAGACACTTGCAATGGCGGGCGACCGCAACCACAGTCACACAGTGAGTCGTGTGGACTGACTTGTCTCCTCACGCATGCTGCCCTTTTCTTGTTTGTAGGTGCAGTTAGAGAGCTTGCCCAAGCTCACTCCTTATGCCACCATTCTAGGAATGTCATATTTTATCCTACAAACACCTTAAAAGCTAGAAGAAAACATGAACATATTTTTAAAATGGTCTTGTAATAAAGAGACAAAAACCAGAAGACATAAAGAAAAATAATTTGATACTTCTATATAGAAAATGAAAATGGTATATACAAAGTGAAAAAAAATACTGGAAGAAAAATATTTGCAACACATATGAGAGACAGCTGACGTTTCCAATCTACAAAATAAATGGTCACAACAGACCAGTAGAAGATGGTCAAAGGATGTGCCTGCATGAAATGATCAAAGTGTGTAAAGCAGTAAATGTGGAGCTTCACTAATTGAAAAAAATCAAAATGTAGATTAGACATTTTTTTACTTCTTAGAGTGACAGTGACTTAGAAAGTTTATTGTGTCCAGTGTTAGTAAAGATTTTGGAAAGTAGTCAATCTAATACTTTTAGAAATGAAAATTTGAAAAGTGTCTTTGGAGGGAAATCCAGCAATGTTTATTATAATTGTTAATGTTCATGCTGTAATTTTACTTCTAGGAATTTATCCTACAGGTATATGGCACAGAGACAAAGAGTTACGTGTATAGGGATATTCCTTGTAGCATTATCTGTAATAGCAAAAAATTGGAAACTACACTAAATATTCATTACAGAGTAGTAGTTAAATAAAATGGATTGCTATAAAGCTGTTGAAAGGGATGTGGTAAATCTAAGAAAAACCAGCAACAGTGTGACTAGTATAATTCTATTCTTGTAAGAGAAGGATATGGGTGCACATGCACATAAAATGTCTGGGAGGATTCAGTGGTTGCCTTCGTGAAAGAGGGCTGAGGGATGGAAGACGTTTTATTTTATACTTCTGTTTGTTTTTATACTGTCTGTGTTTTAGATATCTTCCATTCCTTGCTGGCAGTTCATTGGCTGGATCAGCCACATGGTGGCCTTACTGGACAAAGAGGAAGCTGTTGCGGTTCAGCACCCTGTGGAAGAGATTGCCAATAACTACCCACAGGCAATTGTCTATCCGTTCATGATAAGCAGCGAAAGCTACTCCTTCAAAGATACTTCTGCTGGTCACAAGAATAAGGAGTTCGTGGCAAGGTGATATTACAGAAAAAATTAGGTTGATCAAATACTACATGTAAAAAATGTGTATGGTAAAAGCAAACACATGGAAGTTTATGGTTATCTTCAAATTAATTAGAACTATCATTGAACAATCTTAGACATTTAATTATTGCATGTATCTATTCCAAGGATGTTAATTGTTATAGTATTTATTTCCTTTTTCAAATACATTTCATCTTACGATGTTATTCACAACACATCCTACCCTTATGCTCATAGTTACTAGACTGCTGGTTGAGACAGACTAAATGAGAAGTTTTCTGAAATCAGTTCCTGAGATTGTTCTTTAGTTTAAAATATACAGGCAGGCCCCTTGTTGATTAGAACTCAGTAGACAGCCTGAGTCGTCCTTTCACTTCTCACAAAGCTGATTTGTAAGTGGAAATAGTTGATGTAAGAGCAGTGGTGTTAGTTTCGCAGGAATACTTTGTGAATGTGTGGTCTTTTAGTTGACATTCTTGATCAAGTGCTTTCTTGGTCATGAGCTGATTTGCCTTGTTATTTCAAGTGTTTTGATTTTGAGAAGATGAGCCTTCATTGTGGTTTGTCCTCACGTGCTGTGCACAGGCCACTTGCTGCTGCCAAGGCCCTGCTTGCCACACCATCTCCCTGAATAGAGTCAACTGCAGTGGTGTATTAGGCCATTTCTTTTGCTTATAACAAAATACCTGGAACTGGGAAATTTATAAAGAGAATGAAATTTATTACTTAGGAAGTTCTAAGTCCAGGGAACACATGTGGTGAGGATCTTTGTGGTGGTAGCAGCGACTCAGGGTTTTCAGCATGGCAGAAAATGGTGGAGCAGAGAGAGACTAACCTCTCATGCTCTTCTTTTAAAGCTCTTAGAACCACACCCTGACTCATTATTAATCCATTTACTACATGGTCCTACAATCTAATCACCTCTCTAAGGCCCCACCTTTCAGTTACCATAATAGGATTTCCCACACATTGTCACATTGGACATCAATTTTAGGGGGACACTTATTCCAAGGCAAATGGGATTATTTTCTTAAAAAAGAAAGAAGAGAGAAAGATTTATAGGAAAGTGACCTTTTCTTTCATAATTTAACTTCAGAAACTATATATATCAAATTGTACACATCAGAACGTCAGCATTACTTGCAAGATTTGCTTTTACCTTATCTAGAACTTCACCTCCTGATAGAATAGATAGTTGGTGCTTGATCTAATATTGGAAGGAATCTTCAACTTGCTCCTTCCCTTGGCTTTGTAGTTATTTTTTAAGTGTATGTATACATATAATAAATATAAATTACGTTATATAGTTATATATAATTATGTAAAAAAATATATATTACAATCTATATATTATGTATAGATATAAATTATAGGCCTTGATCTTTGGAAG